TCGTACGTCATTGCATTGTATCGTGTCGTGTCATATCGTATCATTTTTCATCTATCCATACCGTATTGTATCACGTCGTCCCATCTCATCTTGTCTCGTATTGTATCATATCATGTTGAACCATACTGCGTCAAGTCTTTTCTCGGGTAACTTTCTCTGTAGATCAGAGTGCATCTCCATCTTTCCTCTTGTCTCAGCAGAAACAGCTGAAATAGTGAATTCTTCACCATTTCTTTCCATCTTAAAAGCAGCTAGCACATCTCTTAGCCTCATCTCACCGCTGTGTGACTTCCCGCTGTGTTGTTCTGGTTGTATGCAGCTGTCATCTTCTTTTTTCAACCGCTTAAGTGCTGTTTACATTCCCCTGATTCATGTTAGTAGCTCCAAGGTGAGGAGCCACAAAGCAGTGATGCAGCGAGTCATGGACAGATATTTATTTAGAGCGTTTTTCCACTTATATTTTTTATGTTGAGCCCTGATGTAGGGATAATTGAATCACACGGGTTTGGACAACAATATATTGTTTTATAAATTATTTAAAAAGATAAATAAATTCACTCGAATTTTTTTTGCCATTGGTATTTGAATTTGAAATCACAAATTTCCAAGTTAAAAGTTCTTGTTTTTTATGAAAGTTGCACTTTATTTTTTATCTATTTTTTTAGTTTGGGTTGTTCTTCACTTGCTGACCTTTAGTCTTTGGTTTCATATTTAGTAGTACTTTTCTCCATATTAAAATAACTGGTTTTGGAAAGCATAAACAATGTTTTTTTTTTGTTGTTTTTTTTGTTATGAAAATGATACTCAGATACGCTAAATTGTGTGATCTTAAAGAATCAGTTTTCTGTACATATGAAACTAACAAATGAGTACTGTAGGATATCCTGTATGTCATTATTAGTCGGAAGTGTTGTAAATCTATATCATCAATTTAACATCAACATAGAAGAAAACACAGTTTTTTTTTAAGTTTTCTCTGATACACTCGGGCTCATGACATATTTTCCAATAGATCAGGGCAGTTTTGTAGAATTAATGTGGCCTAACATATTGCCAGTGTTTACAGATTTCCTGGGCTGAAACCATCACTGTACATTTTTCATACAGTCATGATGTGTTTGAATGCAACGACCAAAGGGAAAAATCTGTAAGTAAATTACAAGCAGCATATTCATCTTTGATTTGTATGTTTTCTAACATCAGTAAGATGTATTGATTTTCATACTGCACATACTTAGATTTATGGTCATGTGAAAACAACATCTTTATGAGTATAACATTTACATCACACAGGTGATTGATGCTCACACTGAAAACTAGGGGCTATTTTCCATCACGTCTAAACTTTTCCTTGACCGCACATGTCTGTCACCGCTTCAGAGAGCATTTGAGCGCAGCTGACAGATATATAAATGGTCATAAATGGTCCCCTCGGACAGACTGTTGAAAAAAGCCTTTAACCCCAGAATGAATGATCCTGGACCTCCCTGGATTTACCCACATTAAAAAGACACTTGAGCATCCTGATACAAATATTGGGTGATTTGTCGGCTTCTTTGTCATTTCATAACATTTTTTAAAATGACATTCTGTAAACTTCGGACAGCGTGAATACAATCAATACGAGCCGAGTCGGGCCTGTGTTTCCAAGAGGCTTTTTGTAATTTAAGAGTCTGTGTACAAACATCTGATGATTGAAAAGCAAGTACTCGATTATACTCGCACACACATGATTGGATCTTACCAGCTTGTAAATACGAAGAGGCATGGGCCAAATGTTTAACATCACTCTCCCCTTCTCCTTTTCTCTCCCTCTTTCATTTTTCTCATTTTCTCTGAAACCACAATGCACACATTTATCCCTGCGCACAAACTCACTCACAGTCCGTCCACAATGTCCCCCTTTTTTTTCCATGCAAACAATAAAAATCCCCTCAGAGCTGCTAATACCCACAGGTCTCAACACATACACCCTTGTTATGTCTTCTTCCCAGGGCAGGGAGTTATACATTATGTTATCTCCCTAATCTGCAAACCAGCTGCAACTGGAAATGAATTAATAACAAATAAAATGCACCCAGTACATAAAAATGTGTAGATTGCCCAGGGGCACCTAAACAGGAAACCGTGAAACAATTAGACTTCTTGTTTTGTTCTGACCTCTGTTTTGTTTTGTTCTACTTCAGCCCGCTGAATAGAAGGGAGCTAGAGATAGAGACTGTTGTTTTTCTTTGTCTGTAATCACCACTGTTAAGCCTTCACTGGTCATAGCAGGGGTCAAATCTGTGTGAACACCCACTTTTTCATCCTACAGTGAAATTAAATACAGTCAAGCTCTGTGAATGCTGCAATTCTCCGCTGACTGCAACCCACACCGAGTGCTGCGGTTAGCCACCCAGGCCTGTAACGGTGCATGATAACAGGCAGCGATACGGCGTCCTAATTGCCCAGCCCGAGTGCTATTGGAGGGAGTTTTTACAGCAGGTTTCTTTCTCACTTTCGCTCCATTTGATGTCTTTGAAGTTGCTCTTTTTATCTGCCGTTGCTCCTGATGGCTGTTGTCTTTGGTGCGCCCTGCTCTTTGAGCGCTCCTAACATGTAACAAAGGCAAGCCCTCAGAGAGAAGAGAAAAGAGGAAAGAGGAGAAGAGAAGAGAGAGAGCTTGCATACTTTCTCACATAAATTCAAGCAGGGGTCCAAACAGCGTACACAATCGCATTCAGCTACAGCCATTCACATGCAGCTGTCAGTAAAAACTTTCTCTGTGATTGTTTAACGTGTCCTAACTTGATAAAAGGCCAAGTGCAGGGAAATGAGAGAGTAGTGTATTTGTCTCTGGGGTTGAAGCGGGGGTAAATATAGTAACAAGACAGCACCAGTTGATATGAAAGATTCCATGGTGTGGAGTGCTGTTGTGACTCACCAGCAGGCTACAATGATATGTGTGTGCGAAGGAAGGGTTTGCTTGCATACATTTGGATGTATATATGTCTGGTTTTGCTTATGCTCATTGGAGGGATAATCCTGGCCCCGCTTTTGTCTCTCCTCAAACATGTTGTACAATAATCCACAACAGCAAAGAGAGACGATCAAGGGACAGCATGGGGTGAGCGAGCAGGGAAAGACAGAGAAACAGAGAAAGAGAGAGAGAGTGAAATCCTGCATGCAAGGCTGGCTCCCGGCTGGCTGCGCGGGGGTGTGTGTCTTAAGAGTGTGTTGAGAGGAGAGTGAGAGCGCTTGGTCGTCTCCATGTCTAATCAGGAGAACACTTGTGTGTCCCAGTCTCATTGTCTCCTGGGCCCCCTCTGGGCGGCGGTCCTCCACTCTAAAGCTACACCTCAGGAACATGCTGATAGTGGACGGTCCCGTACATGACTTTTGACGTCTAAGGGGGGAATTTTGGAAAATCTGTGATGGATTTGAAGACTTCAGGTGATGCCGGGAAAAAATGATAGGCCTACCCTCATAATTGAACTTCAATGAAAATCCGCTTGTAGGGTTTTTTTAAGGAAGACACTTGTAGATTATTGAATTTCTCAATTCTGCCTTACTATAATGTACATCAGTTGACCTTTGGAAACACAATTTGGATTCCACGGAGGCATTTTTCAAGCTTTCAAACTAAATCAAATGCCTCAAGCCATCCTTTTTCTACATGAAGTAATAAAGTAGTCTCATAAATTTTCTCTGAAATATCGACTTGGCAAATCTCTCTGATGAACTTGACCTCTCCCTGTGGTCACGAGAAGCAAAGACACACCAATGTACAGTAACAGGACATGCGCGCCCCCGACCCCCGGGTGTCTCTGTTCATCGCGGAGCAGCAGTGTGCACGCGCACGGCTCAGCACTTTCCCAGTTCCGTCTCCTCCATTACTGGCGAGGCTCCCGATCAATAATTCAATAGTTTTGGCGTCTAAATCCTGCCCCAAACCGAGCGGTACACAAACACAGCAGACTGTGGAGCAGACTCTTTGAGATCAGTATTAATTAATAGCTAAAGACATTGTGTTTTGTGTGGAAATATCGGAAGGGTAACGCGATCGGGATTCCTATAATTATCGGCTCCCGTGTCAGGTGCTTATTAAGTGTTCAATAAGAGGCGGTTAAGATGTCAGGAAATGAATCAGGCAGATTTGTTAGTCAAGTGAGGCAGACATTAATAGCAAAATATATATTTTTTTTTCACCCAAGCATTTTTCTATTTCCTCTCTGAGCTTGCCTTGTATTTTGTTAATGCGTAAAGCCAAACTTCAGGTCATGACACATAAACCGGCAACATTTTCCATTCAGAGGAGATGGGCAGGAGGCCAAATTCAAGGCGGAACATGGGGATACACAACCGGAACTACATCGAATACCATTAACCTATATTATATTTATGTAAAAATGTTTATTACTGACAACATCTGAAACGATGCTGGTGAGGAAAAAATCGATTAAGGCCAAATATAGTGGAGGCATTTGAACTGCTGGGTGCAAACAAACACATTAAGTCATTAGTTAAATTAAAAATGCATCGTAGCTTTATGTAATTACCAGGTCATTTGGTTAGCTCATGTGATTATCCCGAGGAAAACAAGGTGCTTTAAACCCTAAATGAGAACAAAATATAGAATAAACACGAATTTAATCGAATAATCGTGCTGCAGAGCTAAAACCACTGAATGGCCCCTGTCTCTTTTTATCCTTTATCTGACACTTTTTTTTCCTGCTTGTACTGGAAATTACCAGTCCTCCTTTCCAAACGCTCCACACACAACCAGATGATGAATAATGCACGAGTTTGGCACGAGAGCAGCGACACACACCCGTGTTCACGACTAAACGGGCCTGTCACAACTGTGACAGAATCAAAAGACCCAAAGCTACAGGCATGAATTATTAAAAATCCATTGCCCTCAAAGGTTACACGACAGCAATAATAATAATAATAATCATAAAAATAAAAATAATAATAATGATTTAGACATCGATTATTAACATCACAATAATATCAACTCATTAAAGAAACTTTCCTTAATTTATTGTAGGAACGAAAAACATTTTGTTTGTGTGGATTCACGTTTCACATGTGATGGAAAAAAGTAAAACAATTTCATGAATACTCTTTCCCCCTTTTTTCTTAAAAACCCGTGCCTCAAGTAAGATCACTTTCACTGTTATAAAAACATCAAAATTACATACAGAAAGCACATGATTTTTTTTAATACACTGAATCAAAGTAAAATACAAAAATGAACAACTTCCCCACAAGGCATTCATAAAGCCACTAAATCATAAAAATAATGCATGTTTCTCGTTTATAAACATATTTTACACGTGCCCGTACCGGTTCGCATACAGTCCTCCTGTTTGCACCGCATGTGTTAAAGATGGCATTTCTGACGTAATCCTTTAAAAGGGAACAATTCACCACCTTATATGGACACTACATCCGGTTATTCTGACAAAAGAAGTTCAGCATATAGCCTACACATATAGCCTATTGTAATCTCACGTTTCTTGCCTGTAGTTTCACCTTTTACCAGAGGAGGTCCAAACAAGGTCATATAGGCCAAACATTCAAGTGAGAGAGAGAGAGAGAGAGGAGGGGAAAGGAATGAGAAAAGAAGAGAGAGGAGGGTAAAACAAGTGAATTGGGAGAAAAGGGGGAGAGGAGTGAGGAGTTTTGGGCAAGAAACAGAAGTGTGAGACACTCTCAATCGTGTCCTTTTTTCGTTATCCTGCTCTGAGGAAGTGTCTGAAACGAGGCCAGCCTCTATAATAAAGGTTCAAATGAATTCATCACAATTATAATCGAACATCAAAACAACTCAGAATGGTTCGCCTTGTTTGACAAAGAATCGACCGTCCCAGTTACTTCCTCCTTCTCCTTCTCCTCCTCGGGGTTTCACGCCAAGTGGCTGCAGAGAAGCACCCCGCGTGCCCTCGCTTCCCTTTTGTCCAATGGTCACTCACCTCTGAGTGGGCTATCTCACGTCAGTCTTTCTCTTTCATTGTCTTGTCTTTATCTCATAAATAGCCTATATTTTTATAGTTATACTTGTCGTCCTTCATTTAGAAAATCATAAATATAGTCCTCGGATATTTTTTTCTCACTTTGTCCTTGTATTGTCTCACTTTGAAAGTGTTCAGAGTGTTCCCCCAGTCGCGCGGACATGGCAGAGAGCGCGTGCACGGCTTGCGTCCACCCGGCCACCTGGCGTCACAGTCCCAGCGCGGCCGTGTGCTTTTTGGCCTTCAGTCTCAGGTCGGCGATGCTGGAGTTCTTGCTGGTGTTCTTGGCGGCGGCGGCGGCGGCCACGACCGAGGCGGCGGAGGCGGACTCGGCCGCGAGCGTCGCCAGGGGCAGTCCGAACGGCGGCGCGGGGAACATCATGTAGGGCGCGTGCGCCGCCAGGTGAGAGTGCAGGTGATGCTGCGCGTGGGCCACGGCGCTGTCCAGCTGCAGCTGCGCCTGCACCTGAAAGGAGAAGGGCGGCACGTTGCAATGACTATCCTACAGGACGGGACGCACGGGTGGAGAGAGAAGGGGGAGAACATGCGTTAACTTTGCAGCGTGTCTGAGGCTCATTCACTCGTGTCAGTGATGTAGATGTAAACACTGTCTACTGATGGGAGGAGGCGGGATGACCTTGAAGTTAAAGAGGCCATCACTCAGCTGGACTTCGAGGTTGGACTCTAGCTTTTCTAGTTTACTTCATTTTTGTGGTCATAGTTGGACTTGCTGCATCTTTGGGATGGCCAAAGGTCAAATCTCATCTTGTATTTGTTCACCATGAAAGCTGATTTGTGATCTTTAGACTCTATGGCCTTAAAGGAAATAACCCAGAGTAGTACAGAGGAGCTTTAATGTCTAGGCTGGACTCCACCAAACATAAATCAAGCTGTATAAATTTACAGTTCAGCGCACACACACTCAAACTTAAAGCAAGTGTAAAGCTCTATTAATAATCCCTTCTTATTGTGAGACAAAACACGCATGAAGTATGTCCTTCATTATCCTGCTCTTGGACTACTGGGGAGGCTACTCCAGAGAAGCAGGCACACAAATCATCCAGAAAACAATAGAGGGAATTTTATAATTAAGCTGTACAGGCTACCTTGTGTTGGCATACTGCTTTTTTTGTCACTGTAATAAGAGTTTAGTTACCCCCTCCTGTCTAGCACTTATGCAGACCCTGTGCCAAGACAGCAGTCCGGGGATTGGTCTGGTTTTAAGAGTAGACGCTTCAAAGTAACTTGCCTGTTGGAATGGCATCCGTAAAGCCCCCACGTTGACATATGGCGCTACACGACAAGCTTCAAACTGATTGGCTGCTCCAATCAGGACTCCTAAAAGAAAGGGAAAAAAAGCACAGACGATAGCCTAATTGTGAGGAGAATATCCCCAGACCACAGTGCGTCTATTTGTGCGTAAACAATGCGTAAAAGATGAAGGATGCTACGTGCATTTGAGCCTCCAAATTAAATCGAATAAACTAGAAGTAATCTTGTGTAGTTTTGTGTTAATGGGAGCATGCATGCAGGATAAAAGCCTACCTTTATGTAACTGGTTCTCCTGCTTTCTGCATTTGGCTCTTCTGTTCTGGAACCAAACCTGCAGGGACAGAAATTAATTAGAGAGCCGCTGATTGGCAGCTGCTTGTGAGGCCGTGTGTAATTCCTCTCAAAGTGACAACAACCGCAGAAAACAATATCCCAAAGGAGCACTGAAATATTAATGACACTGCTTAACCCCGGATCTGAATTATTTCATTTAGTCTACAACGAGAAAGAGAGAGGAAGAGAGAGAGAGAGGGAGAGGAAAGGGGGATGGAGTGGAGAGGAAGAAGGAGAACAAAAATGGAAAGTAGTAAATCTACGAGAATGGAGGACATTAAAAGCTTATTAGGAGCATAGAAACACTCTTGTTGGAAATGTGCAGCTCTATTGGACTATAATAAATAACCTTGTCAGCGCTGGTTTCATCTTTCTATAGATTAGTGTCCCTGAAGAGTTGAATGGACTCTCAGATATCGAATAGCAGCAACGCTATTACGCTTTTTGGACATCAGAGCAAGGCGATCTGAGAGCATCTCTCTCTCTCTCTCTATTCCTCTCTCATTAAATGACCGCTGAAATTAATTACCCTTATCTGCACAAAATCCATGTCAGAGAAACGCTTAAATAGCCTCGCAGTTTTTTGTCTTATCAACGCCATAACACGCAGAAAGAAAAGCGGCTTCAAAGCCAGCACACTTCTCCTTTCTGTTAAAATCGAAGAGCGTCACTTTCAGAGGAAAAAAAACGCCTTGAAACACAGATTAAACGATGATTGTGCTTTGAGTCTAGCAGACAAAGCTCGGCCTAAATTAGCCCACAATACAACAGCGTGTCAATCTGCAATCTCACGTACATTACAGGTCCATAAACACGCAGAGAGAAATATCATATTGATTGAGCTGTCAGCTGGCTTCTTTTATTGACCGCAGAGCATGTCAATCGGAAGTGCTTTTACGCATTCCTCAAGATTAATTTATCGCCATGATAAAAGCGAATGCTCTTCTGTTATTGATTGTATTTTAAAGCAAAAATCAAAATAAATGTGTGGTAAAGATATAAGAGGGGTAGGAAAAGAGGGGTCTGCTTGATTTGGGTTGAAAATAATACATAATTTATGTAAATCCCCGAGCTGTGCGCCTTGTGAAGGACACAATGCGCCTTATTGGGGAGATTCCCGTTCAGGACGGGAGAGCCTTGAGCCTTTAACTTTTTTTTTTTTTTTGAAGGGGTGAGTTTGGGATCCTTCAGGCCTTGTTTTGTGGTTTCTTTTTCCACCACTATCCCAAAATGCACGACAAATGCTCAAATCTTTCTCGTACAAAACAAAAAAACTCGGGACTTGTTAAATGGGTTTTGATAAATCAGAATAGTTGAGTTGTGTGTATCTTCATCGCCCCCCTCCTCCATCCCCTCCCTTTCCTGCTCCTGTTACACAAGACATGTCTGACTGAGCCCCCCCTCCTCTTCCCTGAAGCCTTACTGGGTTTCTGCGCAGATGGTGTGTCCCCATGAAAAACGACAGCATCTCTCCCAGACAGGAGACACCGTGAAAGTGGAGGAAAATATTTGTACCGCTTATTTGTTGCTGTTAATTCGGACAATAATAAGCAATAACGGTGACAAATGGAGACATGGATTAAGTCAACAAAATAAGAATAAAATAGGGGAGAAAGAATGATTTTAAGATTTTAAAAAGGTGCTCCATCTTACCTTAAAAATATTCAACACAACTTCAAAACAGTCATTGAAATAATGAAAATGGTTTTTACCACGTGCGTAATTTTGCTTGGAAAACGCAGAATAATAACTAAAATTATAATTTAACATCTTTTCTAATTACATCTATGTTTGTTATCAAACCTATTTCATACTGTAAAAATTATCTCCAAGAAAAAATGGAGCATAGACCCTGTAAATTATTATTATTATTATTATTATTATTATTATTATTATTATTATTATTATTATTATATTTTTAAGCAATTTACCTTTAATTATTTTAATTTATTCTCTTATTACTGGAACACAAAATATCCACTCACCTTCTTGCCTTCAATTATTAAATATTATCATCACCTATTATTATTAATCTCCAAAACCCTCTAAATATCTCTCTTCTTTTGTGTAATTATTACCCACGTTTCAAATATTTTTCACGCTCTTTTATTCTCATTTTATATAATTTTCATAATTATTTTCTGTATTTGTTTCCCCCAGCAGAGAAGCTCAGCTCTTACCTGTACTCGGGCCTCGGACAGTCCCAGCCTCTGGCTCAGCTCCTCGCGCATGAACGCGTCCGGATAGTGCGTCTCATCGAAGAGCCGCTCCAGCTCATTGAGCTGCTCTAACGTGAAGTTAGTCCGACTTCTCCTCTGTTTGATTTTAGTCTGTGTCTCGTCCTCGATGGGCTTCGAGTCCTCTTTCCTCTCCTTGACGTCCGTGGTGCCTGCGTGCGTAAAGCAGCACATCATCAGAGAGGGGAGACATCAGCACACACCTTTTCATCTGCACTTATCCTAGAATAAATCTGAGATAAATCCCACACCTTATTTCAAATACAGCTCGATACCATCTTATTTTAGCAGCAGTTAACTCGTGGATTTGTAAGCTCTTCTCAAACCGGTACAAAATGTGCATTACATCCCAGAGTACCTGCTAAAAAACTGTGCCAGAAAATGCTATCGATCCCCACCAAACAGACATAAAACCCCTGATAATAAAGAAAGAAAGCAATACATGCCCTGCCAGCCCTCAAAGAGCAGCGAGCTATCAGAGCTCGGATGTTTTGTAGAGCTACATAAAGCTCTTTAATTATTTACTGCTTATAAATATGCAACGCTGCATGTGCCACTGCTGGATGTCTAATACAGGCTTGTATCTGTTCAGCTTTTTACCACGCTGCACGCTGCCCGGGCCGAACACATGTCAGTTTTTACCACAGATCTCTGACATGCGTGGATTTGCTCCCGTATGTTATGTTCTGATAATGCCTTTTAAAGTAAACGCAGTGACCTGGCTGCACAGAGCTCCCGTGCATCTCTTTTATTTTACTCAAAATATAGAATAAGCAATCCGAAACATCCAAACACCACTGCTTTGATTCAAACAAGTCGCAGGATTATTAATATTCTGCTGTTTTGTGTGAATTTACGCTGCGTAAAAAGCCTTGATCTGTCATCGGATTGGCGACCATTTTCGTTTTACATAAAAAATATAAAGGAACACAGAGAGAAAGAAATCTTCCATCTACACCCTGAAGATTATTTGTTATATTAAATCATTAGTTTTGTATTCCAGCTGTTTTCTTCTGCTTTCACAGCTGACACAGAGCATGTCCACCAAAGGCCAGCAGAAATGACAGGACGTGATGTGCTGGGATCTGTGTGTCAGGTGTTTGATTAGCTCTCCTTTTATTTCAACAAATCCATTCAGTAAAATAAAGATAGGCCTATAGAGCTTACTCGCAATGTTGTCTAATAGAAAATATAACAACTCGGTTGTTATCGAGGATCCATAAAGTTGGCTGAACTGGAACGATTTTTGCAAACTTGCACTTAATCAGTGCACATTTATTACTTCTTCTATTATCTCAGATCAACTTTAAGATATTGGGATTGTCTTTTTAATATTAAAAATAACACTTTTACACGTGATAAAGGCCTTGGTGTTTGCATTTGTTCTCCAGGCCTTTGTGATGCATAAATAAAAAAGAAATGAAAGTTTTAAGCTGGAAAACAAAGTTCAGCTGCAAACATATATTTGATAATTCAAGAAAATATTCGTGTTTGAACTGGATGACTTTATCTGTGCGTAAGAAAGGCAAACAAGTCAAATAAGCACAAATGATTATTTTAGAGAGCTGTTGGAACTCACTCTCATATCGAGATTATTTGTCCGCAGAAAATCTACACTTTCTGTCCGAAACGAAGCAAAAATTGACTCTTTTTTTCTTTTTTGATAAACCTGTTCCCTGAAGGGACTTTGTACTTCTGTGTGAGTGGGTTTCCTCAGCCTATGTTAGGAACACCATGCTCTCTTACCGTCGATGAGTTTGGGACTCCCAGCGTCCCTGATCCTCTCCGGGCCGAGCATGTCCGTTTCCCTGCCCGGCGAGAGCGCCACGTTCCGGGTGACTCCCGCTGCCACTGCCTCCTCTCGGCTCCCGGGCTCCGCGGATAAAGACTCCCTGCTCCCCGCTCGATTGGAGCCGGTCTCCAACACCTCCCTGTAGGTTATCACTTCCTTCTTCTCCTTCACTTTCTGATCGAAAGACTTGGACACGAACGCGGTGAGCTCTTCCATCCCTGCCTGCTCTCTCCTCTTTGAGAAACACACACCACTCTCTCTCTCGCACACACACACCTCTCACTCATACACTCTTTGCTCCACGACTGCTTAAGACATCAATGGTGTGGCTCGTTTTAAAGTCGACCCCCACTTTGGGAAAAATGATGATGATGCTTGCTTGCTGCTGCTGCTTCTGCTTCTTGTGCCAAACTCTGAAAAAGAGGTGAAAAATAAATAGAAAGAATCTTCTCAGCCTAGTCCTCCTCCTTTGGTAGCGGAGTTGGGAACCTGCTGGTGCTCCTCTATTGAAGTCACACTATTTATACTTTGCGGCGCCTTGCCCCCTTGATCCGTGCAAATTACCTCCCCTCAGGATGCCGGGATGAGCCCCCCTTCCCCTTCTTCTTCACTGTTACGGGAGAGAGAAAGAGAGAGACAGAGAGAGACAGGGAGCATTAAGCAGCACCGTCGCTATTGGCCATTAATCCGAGATTGACAAGAAGGACTAATTAATTTAATTAAGCGCTTATTCGCTGCTATTGTCCTGAGTTAGTTTTTAAGCACCCGGGAGATGCTCATTTCTCTCTCTCTCTCTCTCTCTCTCTCTCTCTCTCTCTCTCTCTCTCTCTCTCTCTCTGCAGGGGTGTGGCTAAAAAAATCAGAAAATGACAAGAGAAAGAGAGACAGAGAGAGAGGAGAGAGAGGGGGAAACATGGATGAAGAGTCCTTCCTCCTCCTCAGTATATGACTGTGATCTGGGGGGGAAGAAGTCACAACGATGATGACACGGAGAGAAAAAAGAGGTAGAAGAAAAAAAGAAGAGAAGAACAGAGAGTTTTAAGAAGTCGTACACATGGTTTTCACACTGGATATATTTTACAAACACATTTAAAGCGTCAATTTTGGTGCTTTTATTTTGAAATAGAAATTAACAATTAAAAATAATCGATTGAAAAATTTGTCAGTGGTTTTTTTTTCTTAATTTACTTAATTAAAAGAAAAAATCTTTAAGTTCTTCTAATAAAATCAAAACGCGAACATAAAAGTATCTCCTGTCATCAAAGTTTTGTGGACCCCATGAGACATTTTATTTACGCCATTCAGCGCTTCTTTACGTTTCTAATCTATAATTATGTATTTTAAATAGTCATCATTAATGAGCCTATAGCCTCGCCTAATATTAATTCTCAGTGGGCTTTTTAAGCCATTAGGACGTTAAACAGGAGCTAAACGCTTCATTAGCATGCCACTCTCGATGTTTTTTCGCCACTGGGCTCACTAATTAGTAACGTTTCAACTCGTTTTTTTTTCCAGCTGAAATTATCGCCTATATTTGCACAAATAAATAAACAATTATAGTTGACTTGCAGTGGAGAGAGAGAGAGAGGAAGAGAAGATGGAGAGAGAAGGAGAGCAATTAAATGAGGAAGATGAAGCGACATATATGCAAGACAAGAAACAGGATCTACAGCAAGATTCCCAAAACGTCCAGATGAATCTGATGCAAAATTAAGCGTGTTTATTGATAATCTATATAAAGCTCCATTTCCACACAATTCCCCTGATTAAATATTAACAATGTTTCAGCTTGAACCTTAGGCATTAATTACGATTATTTCTGCTGCATCTCAAAGCAGGCTGAATTCCTAATCGCGCTGATAAGCAGCCTCTTGTGTCTGTTTGCAGTGAAATCCCCATTATCCTATTTCTATCTATGCCATTTATTATGCAGGTTATTGATTCATTTACTCATTCATAATGTTAGTGGAAGTGGTCGTTTCACCCTTAGTCTCATTAAGATGTGTTTTTAAGTAGTCATATAGTTTGTTCAGGAGGGTTCCGATGAAGAATCAATATGAGATGATAATCGTGAATTTTCATTTTTAACCCACAGGATTAATTTACTGAAGTGATGCTGGAGTTTGAGGTGTTTCATACTCATTTTGTATTGTTGGTTCAAAACGAAACTTGTTGTCATTTGTTGTTGTATTCTAAACTTTTTTACTGTTATTTTTTATATGTTCAAAATAAACTTCAATCAATCAATCAATCAAACTTTAATTTCTTATCAGTTCCACGAATACATATATGCTATAGAAGAAAGGCTGCTGTAAAAATTTAAGTCATATTGTATTTAAATAAGACAAAAGGTAGATTCAGTCAATTTAACAGATCAAAATAAACATTGACGAAAATATACCTCCTACTGCTTTATCAATAATTGGTAATGTATTATATGAAAGAGTTTTAAAGTCAAAAGTGGTTCTATTGGTGGAATAAAAAGTATATTTTTTTCTGTCTTGACTAACTCGCATCAGACAGTGTAATACTGTTAATAATGTACAGTCATTCAACCATTTTAATTATCGTTTGAACCCCCAAATTAATTAAGTTTATTAAAAAGATAACCCTCGAAAGTTTGTTTACAAGGTTTTAATATAGAATATAACGTGTATTTGGCTATACTTAAATAACAAAAGCAGAAATTGATGCGTAATTTAAGGCTAAAGATATTAGTGAAATAATAAATTAATACTTAGCAGACCGCAATCGATTGCTCTGCGTTTGACTACATTAGCTGCGCTCTATCGATGCGCTCTGTTTCGATGAGTCTGGTCTCCTAAGCAGTGCATGGCTGAGCTGAGGAGCTTCATGTCGGTTTGAATGTAAGGAGCGGGTTTTTCATTTCGAGGTAAATCTTCCTCTTTTAGCTTCACTCAACCTTTAATCTTTTCGTAACCTTTAATGACAGTTGGGGAGATGTTTTGCGAAACCGCAACATAGCTTTAGTACGCAAAAACTTGCTACAGCTAGACGTTATTCGAGTTAGCAAGGTTAGCCTGCTAGCTAGCATAAACAGAGATTGTATTCACTTTTATGTCATGAATTTATCGAATATGCCGCTATTGCTGGAGCCGTGTGTTTTGCAGATGTTATATGTATGTTCCTAAGTCTTCCTGGTGTTTGTTGTGTCAGCTGACAGGCAGCCAGCATGGGTCGACGCTCCTCAGACAGTGAGGATGACAGCCGGAGCAGGAGGAAGAGGAAACAGCGTCGGCGTTCATCCTCATCTTCCTCGTCTTCATCCTCATCCTCTGGCAGCAGGGTGACCAGCAGCAAGAGCCGGAGATCCAGCCGCAGGAGCCGGTCTCGCTCCAGAGACAGAGACAGGAGGTGAGAGTGAATGAGGAGCTCTGATGATAGATGACTGAAGAGACCATGTTCTCTGTTATTGATATTTAGAGACACCTAAATGTGTTTCACATTCAGTTTAAAAGTACTGTGTAGTGTTTTTTTGACCTCTTATATCGGCTCACTGCATAGGATATGGCTTGTTTTGGTCCTGCAGATCGTCTTAGACTGAAATGTTGTCTTTATATTACCTATTCAGTATTCAGTAACTCTGTTGCCTTGCACCCACTGACAGTTTGACAGCTGTTAGACTTAGCTAATGTGATTATTTTAAGGAGACATCCCAGCTGAAGTTTGGTTCTGCTCTGTCCTTTATCTTCTACTACTACTATTACTACTATTACTACGACTAAGATAACAATATAGCGACAACTGAATGAAGAATAAAACGCCATACGTTCATATTGAGGAAAACTGTCTTCAGATTCACAGAATAATCATACAACATTAAATAAATAGATTTAGATGGAGCAGTTGGAGTCTAAGCATCACCACAGTCAACACAATTCTTAAGGGATGAAAATAGTATTTCAAAGTTGTAAAGATATTTAGAGTTTTATTACATAATTGTGTCACAAACAACCTGGAGTATTAGGAACAGAACATGGGGTCACAGGCGTATTCCCAGGTGGTTTTTAGCAAATGATCAACATAGTTTTGATGCTTTTTTTTTTTTTTTTTTAATCAGGGAGAAACATCCAAAATGAGTCCAATCACAATTACACATTTGTGGCAAAGCAAACAAACATGCCCAATTAGAACAACATATTCTCCAGTCTGTTACAGTCCCTTTCATTTTATAATATGTCAAGTAAGAACATTTGAACAATGGATGTCACATTTGCTCATTTTCAACAAGATCTACCAATGTCAGTTTTCAGTCGTCCAAGTAGTTTAATAGTCTGGTACTTCAAGTCATGTATCAGAAGTATTTAGAGCAGTTCAGGTCTCCGTGCTCTTATATATCTGATCCATTTCGACCAACGTCTCTTAAATGTCTCTGACATTAGTCTCAGAGTGAACATCAGTCTCTCCATAATGTACATTTTATGAACAGTTTCTTGCCAGTCTTCCAGTGTCGGTGAGTTGGGTTGTAACCACTTACTTGTTATAGTCTTCTTTGCTCCAATCAGTTATACCTTCATTAGGTATTTGTCTGCTCTCACTTGAGTACACAATGCCATGGTACCAAAATACATAAAGCCGACACAAAAATTTTGAGGCTTTTAATGCTGAAATTCATCTGACATGCTTTGTCAGAGCATGTTTTAATTGGTTGAAGTATGATTGGTCAAGCACACTCAGATATGACTGAAAACATTGGCAGTCATTTTGTTTTACTCACGTCTTTGCTCTCTATACAAGACACCTGAAGATGCTGAACAGAATTGTGATGTCTTTATTTTCATTCTTTGTAACAAATGTTTTCTACCCTGACCTCTGTAAAAGGGAGTACGGGAGAGAAGTGAGTATGAAGCGACTGTTCCTAGGTGTGAAAGTAAAGTTTTTTTTTGACTTCAAAACATTATTATTATTAACATTGAGTAACTCTTGTGAGCAAAGGAAGCCTTTCCTTTACTGGAGGGAAACACAGACTGAATCCTTTGGTTACTGAATGACACCTTTAGTTCTTGAAAAGCTCATATAGGCGGCGTGTTAATCTCTATTACTGTACTAACAAATGCTGCTTTCTGGCCATAAAGTTGCAGCTGTTTAACATTTCAGATTTTTAACGTTGAACAAGTGGGAATGCTGCCCACTTTAGTTAGTTTAGGTTCTTTGTATAAGAAAACAGCAAGTTTGAAATTTGACGAATAGGTTTGATTTTCTCTTTCAAGTACGATTGTGAGAATAACAAGCCACTGAAATATTGAAGGCATTTGAATTGAATAGAAAAAGCTGGTTCTGATGTCTGCTCTGACATAAGATATGAAACTAAATATGTCATATTTACATTTAAGATTAAGCTACTTCAATTGCTTGTGTGATTTGTGCTGAAAGACTGTATTCAACTTGGACTTCTACATTTGTGTCTGGGCTGGAAGTCTTTTTAAAGATGAAACATGGCCAGCATTTTAAGATAGAAGAGGTGATTTTGATCACTCATTCTGCATGTGGTCTGAAGAAAATAAGAGGAATCTGAAGGTGTGTCCTCCCTGAGCCATGTAAGATCACATCAGATTTAAAAGCTCGTCTTCATGTTTACCAAATTGCCCTCTTTGTAATTTATCAGGAGAGGGGTCCAGTAATAATCAGACATCTTTACAAGTGGCCAGTAGCTGGACCTGGCCTCATTCATCCATCCACAGCTGCCACTGGCTGTGTGTGGCTGCTCAGACA